TTTGTAGAACTTGGATATGTCATCAGAGACTGCTGGTGCTTTGCCATGTCGGCCTATTTGTTTTCCAGTTACTAAGGAGAAAGGAAGTTGGGCCATCTGGCTGATACTCCTGTTAGTAATTAGCCATGTGGCAATACCCCCTTTTGGGTCTTAGCTTTCCCATTTGTAAAAGGTTTCACTAGTTCAAGCCCTGGGGGGTACATGGCCCAGCTCTGGGTGATCTGTTGCCTTGCAGGAACGCAGACTCTCAGACTCAGTGATGGCAGGTCTACGTTTTTGAAAAAAGCTGGAGGTCCACATTATATAGAGACCCACTTTTTATTATTTACTGAATTACTGGGGCACCAGTTTGCCACTCCGAACTAACGCAACCTCAGGCATTTTTAATAGTGACCTTGAAGCATTGTGTCCAGGTTCGAACCTCTGGATCAAGAAGAATGAGTATCAGGAGATGAGACTTGTGACAAAGTAACCAGCACACAGAAATCACTCAGGACATATTTGTTTATGAAAAATGACCAAAAAGGGAAGGTGTTTGAAAAGACGAGGTGGAGAAGGAAGGAGCCGAGAGCTGGCAGCCACTGTCTTCAATCACATTTTGAGTATTCAGACCAGCTTCCTGCTTTTGTGGTGGAATCGAGTTTATATTACATCTAAAATCGACTAGGGCTTCCAGCGGGAGAAAACTGGGAGCTCCAAGATCTCTGAGCTCCAGCTTGCTTGTTGCACAAAATTGGGCTAAAACTTCATAAATACTCAGACATCTGTGGGATGACTGACTACATGACCATCCAGGTGTTTACCTGCCCAAGGATGGGACGATGGACCCCACACACCAAATGCACTGAAATCCCAATTCAGCATTTTAAAATAGGTTTTCATTACATGTAGCCATGTGAATTGTGGTGCAGCTCATGAGTAACTACTCTGTGGCGTGCAATGTAACTCGGAAAGCAGAATCCTCTAAATAGAATTTTCCTTGCTTGCAACTTTGTGGCCATCTACTCAGTCTCCAGGAATCGCTTAATTGTATTTCTCAGAAGTAGGTATGTTATTGCCGGGCTGGGAGAACCTGGGGGTGACAGAGCCAGACTTGATCTGTAGCAGGGCATGTTGGTATTCTGGGGACATCTCGTTGGGGACAGCATAAGGTCCCTCTGCCCTTCACCTCCATCTTCAATCCAATGGACGTTTCTGTCCTCGGGGGCTGTCGTGTTTTACCCCCAAACACCCTGCAGCTCTGGGGGTTTGGACAGGACACCGTTGGATCTTGACTGAGACCATCCTACGAGGGTCACTGGCCTACTGGGTGGCAGAGAGGAGAGAGAGCATGAGCACTGCTGGGGTTGCCAGACCCGGCTCAGGATTGGAGCTCTGCCACCGAATTGGCAGCAGGCCCCATGGGCAAGGGAATTCCTGTCCTGAACCTGAGCTTCATCATCTAGGAAGTGGGGACAGGATTTTAAGGTCACTGAAGAGTTAATGAGATAATATAAAATGCCTGGTACATAATAGTCACTTGGTAGCTTTAACTGTGGCATTTAAACAGATGGAACAGAAATGTCTGGACCCAAGGAACTTATAAGGGTTAGTAGGGTTTGGGGTGGTGGAGATAGGACAATGTGAAACAAGTTCGGGCAGCCTGGGGCTTATCCGAGCTGCTCGTGGCGAAGTCTAGGCACTGACACTTGGTCCCCAGTGAGGACCCGTCCCAGGGAGGACTGAAGTTGGTGACCAGGGCCTGCGCTGTTGGGTGGGACGGGGGGAGATGGACCAGGTTAAAGGTATTTATATTGTTATTTTTGTTAATTTGTTACTAAGAATAATTCAGCTTTCAAAGCAGTCAACCTGTCCCATTCCGAGGGGCTATTTCTGGGAAGAGAATGAGACCTCAACATGCCACCATCCTCAGCGAAAGTGCGGTGGCTCCGAAGTACGAGGCAGAGCTATGTCCTCAGCATGTGTGGAGTTGGGGCTGGGGGTGGTGCCCTCTCGCCATGCCCCGTGGGCCCGGCCAGCGGTGTCCCTGAGGAGCCAGGCCTGTGCTGGGCAGTCCTCTGGCAGAGGCACATCTTTTTCCCCTGCCAGCGGCTTGTCCCTGGCGCATGTTCTTCGGTCATTGGTAAATGTACACGGTGGGCCTTTGGCAGTGGCACCAAGCATGGCGGAGTGCAAGGAGCTGGACAGGATGGGCAGGGGCCGGCGGTGGGCCGGGCCGATAGAGCAGTGGAGGATCTATTCTGGCGGCAGTGGGCAGCAGCCGCTGGCGGGCTTTAAGCTGAGAGTGATCAGTTGGAAAGCTAGTGTGGACATTCAGGAGACAAATATTGAGGTCTGGATAAAGCAGAACACTGAGGCGTGAGAGGGGGCAGATTTGAGGGCAGTTGAAGAGGTAGGAACCGTGGGGCTGGGTTGAGCGGTAGGAGGGGTGTTTAGCGCGTATGTCCTGTACGCTGGGCCATGATGGAATGGACTCGTCCCTGGCTTCAGGAAGCTTGCATTCCTGAAGAAATACATCATGCACAGCGTGTGCCCAGACACACACGACTTCACAAGGGAAATTCGGATTGTCATAGGTGCCGAGAAGAAATGACACTGGGCGTTAGGCTGCTGTGGCCAGGGGGACATGTGCGCTGAGGACTCAGCGATGAGCAAGCAGGAGGCAGCCGTGCAAGGCACGGTCCCAGGGGATGCAGGAGCAAAGGCCTTGAGGTGGGAGCGACCCTGGACCAAAGTGGCTGGAGGCGCTTCGTCTCCCAGATCAGGGAAGGCGGGTTGGGTCGAGGCGGTGGGAGGTGACGCGTTTGGATTAGGACGTGGCAGGTGCGGGATGGATCCTGCGGTGGCGCTGACTTAGGCCTGACACCGGGTCGGATGCCCTCCGCCTTCAGGAAGAGGGCACAGGAGGACAGCCAGCGACGAGGGCGGAGGAGGGGCGGCCGGAAAGGTAAGGGCGCGATAACCCGCAGGCTTGGCGGAGCGCGGGTGACCGACACTCCCAAGCCTTAGAAAACCACCCTTCTCCAAACACTTGCCGCCCAGCCGCCCGGGGCCTCCTGGGGGAACAAGGCCGGTCCACTCATCGGGCCGCAGGACGCCGCGCCCCGCTCCCACGTCCGT